AAAACCCATATCGGTCGACCTCTAGTGCAGATAAAAATCAACTTAATAAAGAAACCTGACCAACAACAAAACAATATACCTGATTAACTTACTAGTCTTAAAGGGGATAGATTTTTCACAGGCAAAAAGAAAAAATCTGGACAAAAGAGGTATTTTGGGAGTAACACCACAGGGCCCCATCATTTCAGTCAAAAGAAAGTCACCCCACTGAACTACTGAAAGTGTACATACAAAAAAATCTATACTAACACACAGAAGGCTCAGAAAATTGACATTCACTGTTGAATAAACGAAATGGAACCTTCAGCCATTCAGCTGCATTACTGAATAATTCATATTATATGATGATTATATGATGATATAGGTCTAATAAAGAAAAATCACAATGCAAAAACAGATGAAAGCCTCAATGACAATGTGCTTGGCATAAATGCCTGGAAAAAGGTACATTTGCCGATGAGATCCAAACAGCTGTAAAGAAACTCATGCTGAAGAAACAGAACATAAATTTCACAAATTTGAGTAACTACATCATCATGCAGCCAAAGTGCATTAGTAAAAATAAGAGATGCATGATACATCAGTTACCATATCAGTATTGGTCTTTTTTTGTCAATTTTGGTCGACACTGCTAGGAGATATTTAATATTTATTAAAGATTAACAGTACCAGAGCTACGGACATCACTAAAAAAATAATGTATATGATTGAAAAGGACAATCAGCCATTTATTGCTGATTCATTGCAAAAACTACACTGGAAAAACTATTATACTCTATGATACATTTAAGAGGAAGGCAATTTGTCACTCTAGGTGAACAAATCTCCAAAAGACATGGAATTTTTCATGGAGTGCCACAGGGCTCTGTATTTAGTCCACTTTTAGTCTCCTTGCTTATGTAGTTATGAGGTCAATTACCTCCATTCATGGGGTTTACTTCCATAGTAATGCAGATGAGATATATATATATATACAGTCGAACCTCTGTACAACGTACCCCGTTTATAACGTTTACACCAATACAACGTTCAAATTTCAATGTCCCGAATTCGCGTAATGCATTATTCCATTTGCCGGTATCGCTTAGAACGTACACCTTTACAGCGTAAACTTCAATATAACGTATGATTTTCAGAGGAAAATAGGCAAACTTACAACGTACAGCCTCATCTTCCGAGCGCGCGCACAATTCCGAATCGGCTGTTGCCGGCCATCTACATCCCTTAGCAACGCCTAACTGTATGAACCTATCCACACGAAGCATTCCATGCCGGCCGGACTCCTTGCATGCAGCCCCCGTTTTTTCATGGTTTTGCATGGTGTCATGGTATCGAAATTTTATTTCAGCCTATTGAATCATACAGCTGCATAATTTCGGTTTGACATTAGGTTACAGTATGGCTATTTGAACGATAAGCCGGCAGTGGATTTTGCGTTATGTCGGCTGTCTATGAGTAACTGATATTAACATAGTTTGAAGAATATAGTTCCTATTTAGAATAGGAACTGTATTCTTCAAACTACACAAGCTGTATGTCATAGTGTCAACTTGAGGGGTGTTTTATAAAAGTTTTTTTATATACATTTCGTGTTCCATCATTCATTTTGAGGGACTTGGTTACAACGTACTATGGTTATAATGTACAAATTCTTAATGTCCCCCGAGGTACGTTGTAACGAAGTTCGACTGTGTGCGTGCGTGCGTGCGTGCGTGCGTGCGTGCGTGCGTGCGTGCGCATATATATATATATATATATATATATATATATATATATATATATATATATATATATATGCACATACATACATACAGTATATATATCATCAGCAATATATATCTGTAACACCTGATAATACCAGTACTTTACACCTATCTAGAATCAATAACTATATAAATAATTGTTTTAGCTAAGTGAAGAATAGAGGAAAAAGGAATTAGACTAGGACATGTGGCTCAACAGACCAAAGCGTAAGTTGATACACACTGACAGCATCACTGTGTGCCTTCTTCCACTTCTTTCACCATTGTGTAGGTGTAAGCCTAGCTGCAGCATGTTACAACCATTCTGTGTCCGTTCAGTGTTGCTGTGCTCTGTAATCACAAGCAATTTTCTCTGGGATAATAAAAGCATTTTGAATTTGAATTAAGGAACACAGCAAAACCCAACCAAATGCTGTGTGATGCTGAGCAGTTGATTCATGCTTTCATCTTTTCTCACCTGGACCACTCTAATGTTTTGTTTACAGAAGTATGGAAAAAAAGAACAGGATGCAGCAGGAATGTTCACACACTAAAGAATTCTTACCATAATTGCACTGCCCTTCTGTTTAAATATAATTTTAAAACCATTTCTTTGGTTTCTAAAATTCTTAATGATTTAGTACCTTAATACATCCCTGTATCTTAGACTCCAAAATTTTTAAGATGCCCAATTTTGTGTAGATCGGGTGTTGGTCAAAGGCAGGAGCCTCGATGAACTGATCATCGGCAACCTAAACTGGCTCTCGGCACAGGGAGTGTAACCTCTCTGGTGGGAACGGGGGATGAGCTGGTGAGGGAGATACTGAGTGTGACTGGGAGGAATGGCCTGCCTGATCAGAATCCGAGTGGGGATCAATTATTGAACTTCTGTGTTAAACTCCTCCACTTGGTTTATGTTAAGTATCTCAGGGGAATTCAGGGAAGAAGTAAGAGGAAGATCAACAGATGGATCAGTGCATTGTCAGCAGTAATGTGGATGCTGTACCCTTCTGTCATGGGGAAGAGGAAACCGAGCTGGAAGGCAAAGCTCTCGATTTCCCAGGCAATCTACGTTCCCACTCTCAATGAGTTTCCTCTGTAGGGTGTCTGGGCTCAGCCTTAGATATAGGGTGAGGAGCTTGAACATTCGGGAGGGGCTCAAAGTAGAGCCGCTGCTCCTCCACATCGAAAGGAGCCAGTTGAGGTGGTTCAGGCATCTATCTAGGACGGCTCTCTCGGGAGGTGTTCTGGGCATGACCAACCAGGAGGTGGCCCCGGGGCAGACCCAGGAAACACTGGAGAGATTTTATCTTTCAGCTGGCCTGAGAACCCCTTCGTATTTCCCTGGAGGAGCTGGCTGGTGAGAGGGAGGTCTGAGCATCCCTACTTAGACTGCTGCCCCCGCAACCAGACCCCAGATCAGCAGCAGGAAATGGATGGATGGATGGAAGGTGCCCAAGTTCAGGTCTACTAGACATTCCTTAAAAGAAAACCAGTGAAGCAGCTTTTTGTTTTTATGCTCCAAAGATCTGAAAGGCATCCAATGTTTCTAGTTTTAAAAAACTGCTCAAATTTTATTTTAGTTTTTAATTAGTACTTTTTGTACAATTATCTTTAAGTATTTGGCTCTGGAACCAGTCTCCTCGAAGGGGGTTGGACCCTCTTCCACTCTGGAGTTGCTCACGGGGAGAGGTGTCGAGCTGGGGTGGGCATACTTATTGCCCCCTGGCTGGGCGCTTGTACATTGCGGTTTACCGCAGTAGACGAGAGGGTAGCCTCCCTGTCCGGTTTGGTGACCTCAGGATTAGGTCTCTGCTTTTTGCAGATGATGTGGTTCTGTTGGCCTCATCAGACCGTGACCTTTGGCTCTCACTGGAACAGTTCGCAGCCGAGTGTGAAGCAGCTGCGATGAAAATCAGCACCTCCAAATCCGAGACCATGGTCCTCAGCCGGAAAAGGGTGGAGTGCTCTCTCAAGGTCGGGGAGCAGGTCCTTCCCCAAGTGGAGGAGTTTAAGTATCTCGGGGTCTTGTTCACGAGTGAGGGAAGGATGAAGCGGGAGATCGACAGGCAGATCGGTGCGGGCGCTGTATCGGTCTGTCGTGGTGAAGGAGGAGCTGAGCCAAAAGGCAAAGCTCTCGATTTACCAATCGATCTACGTTTCTACCCTCACCTATGGTCACGAGGTGTGGGTAGTGACCGAAAGAACGAGATCGCGAGTGCAAGCGCCCGAAATGAGTTTCCTCCGCAGGGTGGCTGGGCTCTCCCTTAGAGATAGGGTGAGGAGCTCGGTCATTCGGGAGGGACTCAAAGTAGAGCCGCTGCTCCTCCGCATTGAGAGGAGCCAGATGAGGTGGCTCGAGCATCTGCATAGGATGCCTCCTGGATGCCTCCCTGGTGAGGTGTTCCGGGCATGTCTCACTGGGAGGAGGCCACGGGGAAGACCCAGGACACGCTGGAGGGACTATGTCTCTCGGCTGGCCTGGGAATGCCTTGGGATTCCCCCAGAGGAGCTGGAGGAAGTGGCTGGGGAGAGGGAAGTCTGGGTTTCCCTGCTGAGACTGCTGCCCCTGCGACCCGACCTCGGATAAGCGGAAGTAAATGGATGGATGGATGGATATTTGTCTTGTTCAGTTACCATTCTGTCTATGCCACTATTTTTTGGCATTTTAATTTTATTGTAAAACACTTTGTGCTGCATTTGTCTCCAATGTGCAATATCATTATTATTAAGAAATAATCGTAATGAACATATAGTTCTTAAAAAAATTATGGATATTGATGGATTTTCACGCAAACAAGGTTTGGTCACATTTTGTTCTGTCGTTAAACCAATGAATCCAATGATGTCAGCAAACATATCCCCTAAATAAAAACAGACCCAACCAGCTTTGGTCTGGAGGGCCCATCAAGGCTAATAAAAAAGCACAAAGCCTGTTGCTCACATGGGTGACCAGTGGGGAGCCTCTGCACAGGGTCGAAAGCAGGCTGACGATGGTGGACACTTGGTTGCTGAGTTTGGAGTCAGCAGCAGAAGGCGTGGCGCCGGTGGATGTTCTACCAGGCTTGCATGTCGATGAGGGGCCAGAGACGGTGCCCCCGGCTGCGGCCATTCGTGACAGAAGCTCCTCAGTCAGGCCATGCTTGGCTAGAGGCGCAGGATCCACACCACGGCGTGTGAACCGGTCCGCCAGGGAGGCAAAACACCGCAGGGCCCCATCAGATACCTGCAGGTAATGCAAGGTGTATTGGAAAAGCTCATGTTTTTCCTGAACACACAAAATTGAAATATTGTACAAATGACTGCTGTGAATTTATTATTGCTTCACATTATGATAAGAACTGTGTGGCATCAATCAGTACTCCACAGCAGAGCCCCTTAATGGGATCAGTGACGTTCAGGTCACAACCCTAACCTGATGGTCTTCGTGCTTAAGCAGACTAGACAGAGATTCCACGCAGGTTTCCAGGGAGGCATCCTGAGGCTCCATCTTTCCGCAGAGGCGAGACACCACAGCCATCGCTGAGTGCAGCGTGTCTTTGTGTACCAAGTGACCACTGTCCCGAATGAAGGTCAGGACGCAGTTAAGGCCCCCTGCCTCAAACACAGCACCAGACTCCCGTGTGCATATCAGCTCCAGCACCTGACAAATGTGCAAATACACAAATAAACAAGCATATTCTACAAACACCTCATGATGTATAAACATACTTGGGCAATTTTAAAATCTACAAAAAACAGTGTTAATAGTACATTATATTTATATAATACAGAACACCACATGCAGGAAGGAGGCGCCTGCAGTACCTTGACACACTGCTCTGCCAGGTCTCGACTGGTCCTGTTGTTCAACTCTACAACCACCAACCGGTTGCATAGGGCTTTGATGGCACCATCTACTCCAACAATCCTCCGAGTGCATTCCGCAGAAACATCTAAGTAGTATGTTATGGCGCGGGCTGTCACCTCCAGAACATTGTCTGGGGCACTCTCATCCAAGAAGATCTTACACAGTGCTGGAAGAAATGTTCTAGGAGGACATCTAAAAAAAAACAGCAAGGACATTAATTTTTTGCAGTTATTATAATTTAAACTAGAATTGGTACTGTCCGAAACAACAGCATTGTATTCCCCAGACAGCCCTGTCACTTGCTCTGCCCATCTAATCTGTACTTGTTCCACACTCACGAACTTGTACAATTTCTAAAAGTACTAGATGGATCACCTAGAAATGTGAAAGTGAAGTGCAATCTCAGGACAAATTCAGTGGCACCTCAGTTCTGAAACTCATTAGTAGGGCTGCAACTACTAGTCATCATTAAAACGATTAGTCGACTAATCGGATTATAAACTAAATAATTATAAAACGGTTCCTATTTAGCTACCAGCTTTTACATTTAGCATGAGGTTATTTAAATTATGTGGTAAATAATAAAGACAAGAAAGATACAGTGGTACCTCAGAACTTGAACTTAATCCGTTCAGAACTCCGGACCGAATCCTAAAAAGTTCGGGTTCTGATCGAATTTTCCCCATAAGAAAAAGTGGAAAACCAATTAATTGGTTCCCGGCCCCAAAAAATTACACCCAAGTATGTTTTTTTTTTTTTTTTTGCATTTAAACACAAAATGAACAGGATAAAACAAGAAGGGCATATACTGTACTAAACACATTTAAGCACATTTATCAAAACAGTAATTTGTAAAGTAAGAAAATAAATGTATCCAAACAATGTGTCCTGCCCCGATTGTCCGCTCCTTCCATGAGCCACGCCCCCTCGTTAACCCCGTGTGGAATCCCCGTGTGATCAGCTGTTTCTGGTTGTTGTCATTAATCCTCTGTATTTCGTCCGCGTTTCAGTTTGTTTCCCCAGTCCGGTCATTGTATTGTCCGTCTGCATTTTGCCTGCCTTACCTGTAATTAAACCCCGTATTCCCCGATACCCTGATGTCTGCGCCTTTGTCTCCATTCTGTCCCCGCTCGGCACGACAATATTATTATAATTAAATGTATTAATGGTTTATTATTAATATTAAAATAATTAAGAATTTTTTATTTAAAAATTTATTATATAATACTGTTACTGTCTATCATTGTCTAAATGTATTTTTACTGTCTAAATATATGTATTCAGCTTGTGTAAAGATGCACGATGCTATCACAGCGAATGCGAGGTTGAGACTGAACCATTGCCCTTTGTTTCCGCTGAGAGATGTGCTGCATAACTCATTTCCCCGCGCGTACAAGTTATCTTAGGTCGGCGTTCACGGTTTGACTTCTGAGATTCAGATCAAGTACTAGGTAATTTTTTTCCGAACTGGTTGGTTTGACTTTTAAGAAATTCGAGTTCTAATGCGTTCGAGAACTGAGGTACCACTGTACTTCACTCAAAAACATATTTTAATACATTTTGCTGCTGATATTATAAATAAAACAATTGTTCTAAACAATGTAAAAAAAATAGAGAACTTTTTTCTGTAAGTAACGGACAGGCACATTAGCAGCAGTAAAACATTTTCAATCACAGTTTATTCATGCTAAGGAATGTCAGCATTTCAACGTGGTCTTGGGTCAGGCTTGCTCTCTTCTGAGAGCAGATATTCCCCGTTGCAGAGAAGATTCACTCTGATGGGGTAGATGTTGCAGGAATGCACAGAAAAGATCTTGCCAGGTTCGACAGTGTGGGAAAACACCCTTAATTTTCCCTTCACCAACTGAGAGGGTCTTCCTTTTTTGATATTGCTGGCTCTGTGAAGAACATCTTAACTTTCTTTCTCACCACTTCGATCTTTTGGGCCTCCTGGGTTTCTTCATCTTCCTCACTAAGACTGTGTCAGATTGAAGCAGGTTATCCAGTGCTTTGTGTTCCCTTGGAACAAGCACCCGTTTTTGCTGTAGCTCAGGGCTGCAGCCATCATGTATTCCTGTCTCCTCATTTGTTGCTTTGATAGCAAGAACTTCAACTGTGCCTTGGACCCTTGCATGATCTTCAGCTGACATAAACTTTAGCTTTCTGAATCTTGGGTCAAAGGCAGCTGCAAGAAGAAGTGGGTTCCCTCTCTCTACTGAGTGGGTGTTCAGATTCTTCCATCTCTCAGTTATTCCTTTTCCTGCACTAGCCAGAAAGGCTTTTTCTGAGCTTGTCTCAAAACAAGTCTGCTGTATGAACCGTTGCAGTCCTTTGATCAACGTTGGAAGACATGAAGCAGCTGCGTATTCCTGTCCACTGAGGAAAACGGTGACACACTCAAACGGCTGCAACCCTTGTACCAGTTCCTCAAGCAATACCCACTGATCTGGCTTTAAGTCAAAGTAGTGCTTGCCTCTTGGAGTTACCTCAGGATCTGATAGAGTTGCATAGAGTAGGTTTAAGTAATAAGGTTTACATTTATAGTTTATTAATTAAATAAAGAATTACTTGTTAAAATATGTGTGTTAGGGCTGCACATTAGTGCACGATTAATAAGACGCAGCATTACCACATGAGATAATATTAACTGGTCTATATTCTAATGCAAGGATGAGAATTTTAACACTAGAACCACCGATGAACAAGCAAGAACTACTTCAGTGTACGTAGCCCTTTTGTTTGAGATAAATCCGCTAATGTGTTATTAGTAAGGCTGCACGATTTATCAATTTCAAATCGAAATCGTGATTTGAAACAACGCGATTAGCAAGTCACGATTTAGAATATACATTATACAGCACTTCAGACCCAGGGTTTAAAACTGCTGTGAGAATAGTTTTACAAATTCATGCCATGCTCCCTGTGTGATAGTCATTCTCACCAATCACAAGCACTGTGCTTCTCTCCTGCCAGTCATGCTCACCAATCAGAAGTGGGCCAAGAAGGCATATAGGCCCACAAACAGCAAACACGTGAAACCCAAGGAAAATGTTACATTAGCGGTACAGAAAAATACTGATTCCACTACTGAGCTATAAGTGAATTGCCTTCCTATTTCATGGTCTGAGATTGTTTCAGAAAGGTCCTATCATCAATAGAATCGGCGAGCTCCTTTTAAACACCAGCTGCAATATACTTCAGCATATCATACCTTCGGTTTTTGTTAATAGGCAATAGCATTAGTATACCGCAAACCCATCAAAACAACAATGAGAAAGTCAGTAATTCTTTTAGAGTCGGTGACCCCCAAAAAAAGCCATAAAACCCATAATACAGTGGCATTTATGTTTTTGTGCTTATTAAATTTAAGTGTTTCGAAAGATTAATCCAACAACAGTAATAAAATAAAAGTCTTTCTTTAACATAAATACTAAAAGAATAGATCGCTTTAATCGCTATTACAGTTGGGTATGGACACGCGGTCTTATTTAGAAAATATACAAAAAGCGACGCATATAATGTTTAATCATTTGTTTTGTATTTGTCCGAGTAACAATGCAAAGGAATGATAAGCTGCTTCAGTCGAAAACTGCATTTTACTTCTCATTTAAAATAAAATGCAGGGTTGGCAACTTTGGTCAGCTGCATGGATTTTCTGTTCTCTGTTCTGCACACACATTTACATGTATGTAAGTTTTATTACCTTGTAAATAGTCTGTAGGGTTTGCAAACTGCCGTAACGTTTTTGATGCAGCTAGTTTTAAGTTCAGAATGGAATATAGATTTGCCGTCTGAAAGAGTTTGCAACCATGAACACGTACATTTTTTGTTTCACCTGAATTGATTTGTATAGAAAATAACGTATACAGTTGTTAAAAAGCAGAAACTTCAACCAACTTGAAATCACCAATAAACGACTTCTATTTATTCAACATTTTATAAAATGCATACTACGAATAAAAATTTCTAGCTTTACGGTTTCAGGACAGAACAGCCACTCTATTATGAACATTATGGTTTTTTGAGTGTTATTAGTGTTATAACAGTAGCTAACAACACAATAGCGCAAACAAAAGGGATGCATACACCAAAGTAGTTCTTGCTTGTTCATTAGCGTGGGAAAAGGCGGTTCTAGTGTTATTAGGATGGTAATAAGCGTTACCTGCAAGATCGCTATTTTTCTTTTTGCTGCAATTGTTTTTATTATTACTTTATTTAACTTGACACATCACATCTTTAAATTCTCATCCTTGCATTAGAATATAGACCAGTTAATACTGATGGCATCTCATGCTGCATCATGTTTTAAAATGACTACACACTGAATATTGAACTGAAGCTTGACATTAAAAGAATTAAATCGCAAATCAAATCGTAATCGCAATTTCTGTCAGAAAAATCATGATTCGACATTTTCCCCAAATCGTGCAGCCCTACTTATTAGTGTTAATAACAGCAGTGAATCTAACACTCAAAAAGCTGTAATGTTCATAACAGAGTGGCTGTTCTGTCCTGAAACCGTAAAGATTTTCTATACAAATGTGTGCAGAACAGAGAATAGAGTCGTGGGGACAGAACGGAGACAAAGGTGCAGATGTCAGGGTATCGGGGAATACAGGGTTTAATTACAGGTAAGGCAGGCACAACACAGACGGACAATACAATGACCAGACTGGGGAAACAAACTGAAACGTGGACTAAATACAGAGGACTAATGGCAACAACCAGAAACAGCTGATCACACGGGGATTCCACACGAGGTTAATGAGGGGGCATGGCTCATGGAAGGAGCGGACAATCAGGGCAGGACACATTGTTTGGATACATTTATTTTCTTACTTTACAAATTACTGTTTTGATAAATGTGCTTAAATGTGTTTAGTACAGTATATGCCCTTCTTGTTTTATCCTGTTCATTTTGTGTTTAAATGCTAAAAAAATTTAAAAAAAAAATAAATAAAAAAAACATACTTAGGTGTAATTTTTTGGGGCCGGGAACCAATTAATTGGTTTTCCACTTTTTCTTATGGGGAAAATTCGATCAGAACTCTAACTTTTTAGGATTCGAACCTGAGTTCTGAATGGATTAAGTTTGAGTTCTGAGGTACCACTGTATATCAGTCCTAGGGGGGCCCTGTCAAAAGTTTGAATACCATAGGTATATCAGATGTCTGCAGAGACCACATGATGTG